CTGGGGGATAGCTGTTATAGAAACCATAGCAACACAGTTACCGATGCGCTATGTTCCAGCGAATGGGGCCAACATGACAAAAAATGAATATCAAACTGATAAAGAATAGTGATATAAAGAACTAGTAATAAAACAAAAGATGCCAATATAAGAATTAAAACTTAACAGTTGTTATAGACGACGACCCGGGTGTTGACACGTGTGTGAACTCACTCGAATGCAAGTAGCTTCCATGAGCTGCATTCTTATGAGATTCATAAAAAACCCATACTAATTCTTGATGATAATGAATGAAATCGGTAATATGGACATAGTAGTCATTCCATATTATTACATGCTATAATACCGGAAGTATAACTGGGGTGTTCTTTCCGGCAGACTGTGAGCGTTTCGACGGAGACTCAAGCGATTCCAGAGAGACACAGTGGCGCCCTCTTCGAGCTCGTTTTCCCTGTTCAGCTGCCGCCGTTAGGATTCCAGACGTTCTTCGTTCAGCATCAGTCAGGTAACAAACACCGCTGCCGTATATAGGAAGGAGGGAATCAGGGCCGTGTTCCCTTTCCGGAGTAAATACTAGAAGACAAGTGAAAAAAAACGTTCCTAGATCCGCCAGTAGTCTGACATACAGTGCCATGATGATTGCGTTTGATAGCTTTATATTATATTATATTGTATTATACTATATTATATTATCATAGTTATAGATATCGCTTGTGTTGTTTTATGACAGGTATATGGCGATATTTGTTCCCGGCAACGACAATCAGTGAGGACGAGCAGACGGCAGCCGATATCATCATTAAGAATGAGGTACGTATATAGTCACCTGTAATTAGGAAAGTATAGGCATTACCTGTAATTAACGAGGCATAGGTAGTACTTGTTATTAACACGGTATAGATATTAACTGTAATTACATGCGACGACATCACCTGTGCAGACGTCACGGCGTACTTACTCTCCCCCCATATATAATGCCCAATATAACTAATAGATGAAGTAGCAAACGATGCAGCCCAATTAAATAACGATCTCACCAAGGCAACTGATGTCTTACGAAGGCAACTGAGCCCCTCCCAGGGGTTTTAGGGAACAGGAGCATTAACTTTCAGGAAACTGCTGATTAGATTTTGGGGAACAAGGGAACTCTGATTTTCCATCTTTGTGATTTTTTCAAAATTTTCTGAGACTTTACAATAAATTTTGAGGTATTTCAGGGTCATTCCAAGATAGTGTGCTGTAGGGACCATTAGGGTCCACAATTATAGGTTCTTTTTTACTTCAGCCGTCCTCCTTCCTTCTTTAGCGAGGTTCTACTGTACCAAACAAATATGGGGAACAGTGGTAATTATTTTTTGGGATTAAGGGAACTGGAAAATAATTTTCGGGATCGCGGGAACACAAGGTAAAACATTTTAGGGAACAAGTTATTTTATTAATGGGGAACAAGTGAGAAAATGCATAAACATTAAGGGATCAAGGGAAGATGTATATCCCCCATGAGAGGGATGCTGAGGGATACTCCGTGATGCTGCAAGCAAAGTGAATATTATAGATAGGATTTTACCAAGTACACGTGCTGTCGGCACGCCTGACTCTGCTTTGAACGCATAAAAATGGCCGAAGAAAATAATTATCTTGGCAGTCAACGGTGACCGACGCACGAGCACCATCCACCTGTACATAAATATAGGCTTAGCGGAGAACACAGTGCGTTATGCTGCGAGCAAAGTGAATATTATAGTCGGATTTTACCAAGCACACGTGCTGTCAGCCTGTCAGCCTGCCCGGCTCCACTTTGAACGCATAAGAACGGCCGAAGAAAATTCTCTTGACAGTCAACGGTAACCGACGCACGAGCGCCATCTTCGTGTACATTAATATCGGCATAACGGGGAACCCAGGGCGTGATGCTGCGAGAAAAGTGAATACTATACCTCGGATTTTATCATGCACACGGGCTGTTTGCCAGCCTGGCCCAACATTGAACGTATATAAGAAATGCGACGAATATTCTCTTAACAGTTTTTCGGCCGTTCATATACGTTCAACGTGGAACTGGGCGTGTGCTTGATAAAAACGTTGCTCGCAGCATCACGTCGCAACTCACATATGTTTCCGCATCTCGGTTATTTATAATTAAGATGGAGTGTTATATAATGGAGATTATTATTTTCAGCTCGTGAGCTGCGTAACTTTCCTCGTATGCAACTTTTCCCGCACGTGAGCTCAGCTAACGTATTCGTTACACATCTGCGTGTTTCAGCACGTGAGCCTGACGTTTAGCGGACAGACGAACCTGCTAACGAGCATGACAAACCTGGACAGCAGGCTGACACAGTCTGTGCAGCAGTCATTCTACTGGTACGAGGGCAGTCGGTGGGACAACGCCACAAAGCAGGCGTCTGGCGCCTACATCTTCCGACCAAACGGAACAACACCCATTCACCTAGGAGACTCCGTCAATGTGACCCTCATCCGGGTACTCGCTTATATATTAGAAGCTATCGTAATAGGTTCCTATGTAACCCTTATCTGTGCACTCGTGTATACGTTAGCTGTTCTTGTAATAGCTGCCCATATATTCCCCTATCAGTATGTATTTATATCTAGAATATATATATATATAATAGAGAGAGAGAGAGAGAGAGAGAGAGAGAGAGGAGAGAGAGAGAGAGAGAGAGAGAGAGAGAGAGAGAGAGAGAGAGAGAGAGAGAGAGAGAGAGAGAGAGAGAGAGAGAGGGAGAGAGGAGAAAGAGAGCAGAGAGAGAGAGATGAGAGAGAGAGAGATGAGTAGAGAGAGAGAGGAGAGAGAGAGAAAGAGATTGTAATAGCAGCTATTGTAAAAAGGTCTACTTGAGTTTTTTATTAGATCTTTTACGCGGTAAGTCTTAAAGAAGCCACGGAGTGAACGAATGTTCCAATAATCGGACGTTCAACCCTATGTCAGGACCCCGAAATTTACTGATTAGCTTAAGAACATGATAGGTTAGAGTTACGGATTAGGTGATAACAATAGGATTGAACGCAATCAGAAGCGCTTACAATCCACTTTTAATTCATAGGGCAGACTGGTCCAGGAGGTACGTCAGCAATTCACTCCATGGCTGAGCCAAGTAGTCCGACTCTACAAAGGTCATAAATGGGCCGAATTTGAGTGGACCGTTGGGCCAATTCCTGTAGGGTAAGTATTGGTACAAAAAACCGAACCTGGATTGATCATTCTTGTTGACCTACTTGTCAATTTTTCATTTTTACGAGCGTAGTTTGGCGAAAATCATTGCGTTGTTCGTTTTATGAACGTATAAATAATATTAATAATAACTAGCACCTACACACACGCGCGCACACACGCACACACAAACGTATATTATAAGTGTTATGCCATAGTATATTGGATTGCATATATCAGTCCTGGTTAATGTCGTATTATGTGCCGAGTGTATACTAGCCTGCGTGAAATGGAAGCCTGTCCAAGATCTATATGGCGCATATCTATCTACTGCAGTACTTCGAGTAGATTCTACTTGCTCGTTATTCGATGCCATGAAGTTATGAAGTTAGCGATACAACTATATAAAACGCTCACGAGCTAAAATCGAAATCTATGATACTGCGCGAAAACATTTCGTGTCATTATACATTCATTGCGAACGTTTGCACAGCGACAACATAGGAAAGGAGATCGTCACGCGATTCGACACCAAGATTCAGTCCAACGGGGTGTTCTACACGGACTCGAACGGAAGAGAGATGTTGCAACGCACGTACGTATACATAACACGGGTACACTCGCGTACGATCGCAACGGTTCTCTTAGCTGAAAAGTTCTATGTGCCTCCCTGGGTAGGCCCTATTGTCGGAATTTACCCCCAATTATAACGCTGTCCGTAAGCCAAACTATTGCCCTCACTGCAACCCTAACCCCCACTGGCCCAACACCAACCACAAGCATAACCGATTGGTAACCTCAATCTAACTACATCCCTAACCTAAAGCGCCCAGCGAGTTCAAGGCGTCATTGGATCACTCATCTACATGTAAACCTCATATATAAACCCTATTCATATATAGATCAGTGCATCAAACACATGTTGGGTAAATGGAGGTTCAATTGTTTGATAGGCGGGACCAACGGCCGACGTGGACCCTGAACAAGACAGAACCCGTGGCGGGTAACTACTATCCAATCACCAGCAAGATCTTTATCAAGGCTAGTAAACGTAATGCATCAGAATAAACTAACAAACTAACAAAAGGCATCATGCCGTAAATCTCAGGGGCCCGCATATCCAGCTTTCATGACCTTCATGTGTTACCCTACCCCTTCGCAATCTATTTCCTGCAATAAACTAATGCTTTTCCATAGAATGAAAACTATGGCAGTAACTTCCGAATTAATTTCGCTTTGATTTGTCCTTGCAGGATGAGAGTAATGTCGCGCAGTTCACTGTCCTTAACGACAGAGCTCAAGGTGGCGGCAGCATTGCTGATGGATCCATAGAAATTCTGGTGAGGCTGGGTGTTGGTACACGACAGTTATTTGGCGTTTCTGTCTTGATAAATGAATATAGTAGCGACTATGAGTGGTATATGACGTTACTATATGTATGTATATATTATAGGTGGATGGTTCAATCCTAGCCCAGGACTCTGGATTGTTATATTGGGCTTATGATTATGTTAGGACCATTATTCGGTGTTAGGGTTGGGGAGTTATGGCTAGGTTTGGGGTTACAGATAGGGTGGTAATGTTGATAATTCGTGTAATCGTCAAAGTCCCAAAGAGTCCCAAATCGGAATTGACCCTAGGAGACGTATGGCATATTTGACATCGGTGGTTAATAACGACAAATTGTCACCATTTTTGTTACCATGAAAATATGCGTTACACATATCAGCTCTGTCATACAGGTGCACCGGCGTCTCCTTGAGGATGACCACTGGGGCGTGGGAGAACCCCTCAACGAGACCGGGTCGGACGGACTCGGTCTGGTGGCCCGCGGCAAGCACTACGTCATCCTGGAGTCCGGCGAGCGGTCGGCGCATGCGTACAGGGAGCTGGCTCTGCGCACGCAGATGGCACCGTGGATGTCGTTCACCGCCAGTGACATGTCGCAGCAGACGTGGGCACAGAACTACAAAACCAACGTACGTCTCCCGTCTCTCTAGACACTCGCCTAATATACTGGACAGCTTTTTGATTATGAGGCGAAAAAGGTTTAGAGGAAATTATGACAAATAGTATACATCACGTAAATTAAACCTAAACCTAAATTAAACCTTAAAAAAAATCCCGAAATTAAACCGAAATTAAACCTAACGATTTCCCTAACCACGAGCATCATTGAATAAGCCCATGTGCGCCATAGATAACTGAACTGCAGGTGTACGTGCTGCATTTTGTTTAGATTTTATTTGAAGGGAAACAGTTAGCAGGTCCGATCTGCATTTACTATTATCAGCTAATAAAAAATACCACAAAATTCGACCCTGCTAACTTTCAAATCGATTCGACTAATTCGAGCAATAGCACATTATAGTAGGATATATTCTTACCGTCTTCATCCTAACTCGCTCTACGAGCAAGTGTAACAGCGTATGTGGCTAGTCTTATCATCCTGAGTTTCCCTGCCAGTGGTAGTAAGCATGTACGCACCTGCTACATTCATTCTAACATGTGCCACGAGTGTGCGTAATCACGTATTACGCGCGTGCACGCAGTGGACCGGTCTAACTGAAGCCCTGCCAGCCAACGTTCACATCCTGACGCTGGAGCAGTGGCGAGGCATGAGCGTACTGCTGAGGCTCGAACACATCTACGAGAAGGGAGAGGATGCGCAGCTGTCCCAGCCTGTCACCGTGTCTCTTCAGGTACGCATCTCACGTGTTCTCCGTATGTACTACTCCGTGTCTTACTAGTGTCTCTGTTGGCAATCAAATGTCTCTTGGTAGTGTCTTACTGGTGTCTCTTCACGTACTCAACTATGCCTTGGTAGTATACTCAATTGTGCCGCAATAGTGTCTAACAGGGGCGTAGATAGCGGGGGGGGGGATGGGGGGATGCATCCCCCCCCACTTATTGACGTGGGGGAAATGGCGTGTACAATCATCCCCCCTATTTTCAGGAGGAAAATGGGGGATTCAAAATTTTCTGGGGGAGGACCCGCATACCCACCCACGCCTGTTTCTTACCACCCTCCTCGAAAACCTGCATTGTCCACTGTCGAGCGTACCAAATTGAGCACCCCCACTTCAAAAATCGTTCCGCGGCACCTGTAGAGTACTGCTAACAAAGATTATGATTATGAATATTTGTATGCATATCAAAAGTCAAATTTGAGTTCATCTGACAGGGACGTAGATAGCGGGGGGATGGGGGTATATACCCCCACACTTATTGAGGTGGGGTGGCTTTCATCCCCCCTACTTTCAGGAAGAAAATGGGGAAAAATTTAAGATTTTACAGACAATAAATACTGGATATTTATCTACAAATCCGTCATCGCTATTCATACTCTCCTAATGTATTATTACAGAAATGGAACGTGACATACATCTCCTGTAAAATGGCTGTAACTCGTTCCAAGAATGACATTATTTTACTGTGTCTTACTCGTGTCTCCGCAGGTACTCACTTGTGCCTCATTAGCGTCTTACCAGTGTCTCTGTATGTACTCAATTGTACCTCAGTACTGAGTAGTGTCTTGCTAGTTTCTCTGCAGGTAATCAAATGTCTCTTGGTAGTGTCTTACTGGTGTCTCTTCACGTACTCAACTATGTCATGATAGCGTCTTCTTACCAGTGTCTCTGTATGTACTCAATTCTGCCGCGATAGTGTCTTACTCGTCTCTGCAGGTAATTAACCATGTCTCAATAGTGTCTCGCGTGTCTCTCTGCATGTCCTCACATGCATTTTCCTAGCTTGACATACAGGGCCGTAGTGGCCTCCCAAAATGTGCTACTGCAGAAAAATGTAGGATCACCCAGTATAATATCAAGAGTGGCGGTTATGGTGTGTGCAGCAGGCACGCATGGGTAACGCCGCGATCGCGAATCAGATGCGGGGGGTCTTGGGGTACTAACCCAATTTTTTTATTTTATTTAGAGCCTGGAAATGGCATTTCATGCATTTTCAGGCTATGTTGAAAGCAACCAATTCTGATCATTTTAAAATGTCAATTTCAAAGAGGAATGTAGCTAAAGCTGATATTTTGACTAAAGTATCTAAAATATATATTATGAGTATGGTAACTAATAAAACATTGTTTACAAAATTGTATATAGGCCTACTATCAGTACATAATTATGAAATATAATATAGTTTTTAATATTTCCGTTCTAGTGCATCGTAGTTCAGAATACGTTGAAGCCGGGCCGTGAAGGCATGCATGCAACGTGTATGTGTGTGCGTGCGTTCATCTCTCTCCGGGTCATGTTTTGTTGCCAGTTCCAGAGCATACCACATTCAACAAACATTAGTTCCAGAGACCCCCATTTTCAGGTCTGAGTTAGTTCCAGAGCCCCCCCCCCCATTTTTGACTTCGCAGTGGCACATACCTACCATAATGTGAGGTGAGTGCCCCCCCCCCCCGGGGTTTCATCTCCTTGGTATATGTTGCTCCTTGGTTCCCTGCACAATTTTTTTTGTCAAAATAGTGCCACGACAGTGCCGTGGCGGCCACTACGACAGTGCCGTGCTGCCGTGGCGGCCACTACGGCCCTGACGGTATGTGTGACCACAACCTGGCAATTAAAGGTTATACCTAGGAAACGCTTTACCTATGCTACATCAACCTAACCTTTACCGAAATCAACAAGTTGCAGTGTAGGTGGAGGTTATTCTTCTGTTAGCTTCATTGCAGCAGTATAAGAGCTAGAGCCCAGGCTGCTAGTAACCGTGTATAGTAACTGTTAGTTAGTAGAACAGGTGGAGTACTTGCATAGGACTTGTCTGACAGTACTGACATCTACATTGCAGAGCATGTTTAGTCCTTTTGAGGTTGTATCGGCTGAGGAACACACTCTTGCTGGCAATAAGGTTCTTAGTGCGTCGACGCGCTTACAATGGAAATTGGCTGATGAAAGCAATCGGACCCCTCGAGACTGGACAAGTATGTATACATATATATGTATATATATATTATAGTATAGTTGTTGTTTTGTTGACTTTCGTAATCAGCAATCTAGTCAAAATCTGCTAACATTACTGAATGAAGACTCAAGTTCCCATACTCTAATTACTTGATTTAAAAAATACTTGGTAGCAGCGCCTATCTTAACGAAACAATTATTAAAACGAAATTATTTCAAAATCTCAAGTTTTTTTATTGACACATATGATCAGATTATTCTTAAACTCAATTATCTACAGTCACATCTCCAGATGCCTTTCAATATTTTAACCTAACGTTCTTTCCATTAAAAATAATTGTTTATTGCATATTTCAGTGGAAGCATTTCCATCACATTTCTAGATGCTTTTCAATATTTCTAACTTGCGTTCTTTCCGTTAACATTGGTATTTTATTGCATATTGCAGTGCAAGCGTTGCCGGCGAATGTCCTTGACGTGACCCTCAAGCCGATGGAGATTCGTACCTTCGTTCTCACCCTGAGCGATGCGAACGAGATCACTGAAACACATGTGTACCCGTGGTAGACAACTACCCCCACGAATCAATCAATGCTTCTATTCGATACTATAGAATAATGCATTAAACATAGGCAGCCGTGACCAGGTGCTGCTATATATTTATATATTGCTTTACATGTACCCGATTGCCCAATTATTACCTGCAAGTGACTGAACATTAATTAAGATGGCCATGTTTGATTTTGTATTCTGCAATTTATTTCCTACGCATACTTTATACGCTCACATGTTATATAGAGACTGTTATAAGTAGATGTCATATGAGAAGAAATCGATATCATTATTGTAAAATTAGCAAAGCTTTCAGATGAGGCCAATATACTTTCAGCAGAAATATATTTTCAAAAAAATTGATAAACTTTTATCTGAAATTGCATAGTACAACGTTTATTTGTTAGCAGTGTACTGAACATTAGAATTGTTTAATAAAGGTTCGATAAAAAGTGATATCGAGATAAAACGCTAAACTACATTACTGTGCTGTAACATGATTCAACATCTCTGTGGTTTGTACTACTAGTCACATTATTGAATAAAAAAGCTGTTAGTACACACACACGCTTTTATCACGCCGCATCGATAGAAACACGTCTTAAATGAATTTGTCGTCTGGAAAAAAACGCGATACCCAGCGGAGTCGACACATCACCTGTACTTGATAAGGATGGGCGTCGCCAGTTTGCGGATGAGGTTGAAGTCGACGTGTAGGTGGCGCCTCCAGTAGCGGCGGGCGCGCCCCCACACTTTCGCCGGGTAGCAGGGGCTGTCGACGCCGTGGAAGATGCGCGCGACGGCGCGCGCTGTGAAGCGCCGGTCCGAGTGAACGCCGACGAGGCTCGCCACGTCCGCCTGCACCTGCTCCTGCACGCCAGGTGTTGCCTCCGTCAGCGCGCGCGGCACGTACGCCGCCAGGGGGCCGAGGTCGCGCGACGCGCTCTGGAAGTACACGTGGATGCTCGCCTTGAGTTCGTCGCTGCCCGCCGTGTCGACGGCGTCGCTCGCCGCCTCGTAGGTGGCACTGCAGATCCCGCGCAGCGCCTCGTACAGCTGGTCGAGCTGGTAGAGCTGCGAGGACTCCTGCAGCCGCGTGCGCTCGTACAGGTCGTCTGTCACAGCGTCGCGCTCGTCGTCCGTCAGGTCGCCCAGCGCACGAAGCTGGAACGCCAGCTCCGAGAACTCGACGAGGACCCCCGTCTTCGTCCAGCCGGCGGGCGTCTCGCGCCACGCGAGTGCTCGCAGCTCCCGCCGCACCGCGCGTGCGTCCCAGCCCATGCTCGCCGCCACCTCCAGCCAGTGGAACGACAGCTTGTTTGTCGGCGGCGCGGTGGCGGCGCGGCGGGAGCGCGCGAGGGCGACAGCGACGGGTGGGCAGCGTCGCGCGACGTCGCAGAGCTGCGCGGGGCCGCCGTAGCAGGTGAGCGTGCACGCGGCGTACGTGTGCTGCAGGATGCGCAGCCAGCGCGCACGGTGCAGCGAGACGTAACACAGCAGCGTCTCGATTGACTCAGCCTTCATGTCGAGCGACTCCACCGCTGCCTCGATGGGAATCGCGACCGGATGACCCGGGCAGATCCTCTCCCGGGAATGTTCCGGAATCTCCGCGGAATCGGGTTCATCTTCGCTGTCGTCCTTACCCTCTGGTGACTTCGAATCGGCTCGCACCCGGAAACATTCCGGCGAGTTGAACTCCGCAGAATCCGGTTCACTTCCGCATTGAACGTCGTCACGATTTTCAGAAGGGTTCGTACAAGTTCCGTTTCCAGACATGTCCCGGGCATGAGGCGCAGAAGCTTCCGCGGAATCGGGTTCGATTCCGTCGTCGTCCCCATTCTCGGCAGAGTTTTCGGGCACAACGTGAGATGCCTCTGTCTCACAGTAGATGGACCGAGACAAATCCTGTTTCACATCACATCGACTCGAATCGTCGGTGAAACTGGGTGACCCATCTGCACCTGCCTGTGTCCGTAACTTCTCCGTATTTCCCGACACACCCCCGCATAATCGCGAGCCGCCTCCGCCTGCATTCCCCGAGACCCCCGCATCCTCTCCTTCCCTCGTCACCACACCACTCGTCACCCCGTCGTCCATAGGCAGGTTAGCGTAGTCAACACCAGATACACTCACGCACAATCCGTCGCCGCCTCCGCCCGCATTCCCCGACACCCCCGCATCCTCTCCTTCCCTCGCCGCCTCGCCACTCACCGCCCCATCGTCCATCGGCAGGTTGGCGTAGTCGACGCCATCGTCGGCGAACGCGAGTTCGTGCTCCGCCTGCCGCCGCCGCTCCTGCAGCTCCCTGCACTTACACGGCGGCAGCGCGAGACCCACCAACTTCTTGATCGCGAAGCGGTCGGCCGCGTTGGCGTGGGCGTGCCGCCGCAGCTCTGCGAGATCTCCGCCCTCCCGCCCGAGAAACAGGTGGCAGTGCGCGGGGAGGCCGTCGCGGCCCGCCCGCCCGATCTCCTGCACGTAGCTCTCGAAGCTCTTCGGCATGTTGTAGTGTATGATTGCGCGCACGTCGGCCTTGTCCAGCCCCATGCCGAACGCGACCGTCGCCGCGACGACGCGCAACGCACCCGACATGAAGGCGTTCTGCACGCGGCGCCGCCGTGCCGCCGACATCCCCGCATGGTACGCCTCGCAGACGTGCGACAGCTTCCCCCCGTCGCCGTGGCGACCGTCGCCTAGGGCGACGCGCAGCAGCGTGGCGAGGCGCTCGGTCGTGTCGCGGCGCGTGCAGTAGACGATGAGGGAGTCGCACGCCGTGAAGCGCTCGCCCTTCAGCAGGTTCACGAGGGACGCCTCGCGGTTGTCGTCGCGCGAGACGCTCAGCTGCAGGTTGCCGGGGATGACGGCGCCGCGCACGATCGCCGAGTCATCGCGGGGCAGGCCAAGGTGCGTGGCGACGTCGCTGGCCGTCGCGAACGTGGCCGTCGCCGTGAGCCCGAGGAAGCAGCGCACGCCCATGCGCTCGCGCAGCGCCGTGCACAGCCGCAGGTACGACGGCCGGAAGTTGTGCGACCACTGCGAGAGGCAGTGCGCCTCGTCAACGCACGCGAACGCGACGGGAGGCATGCGCGCCGGCAGGCACCCCGCGCCGCCGCCGCCCGAGCCGCAGACGATCGCCTCGGGCGAGACGAGCAGCACGTGCACGTTGCCGGCGGTGACGGCGGCCGCCGTCTTCTCGCGCTGCGCCTTGCTCATGTTCGTGTGCAGGCAGGCGGCCTTGAGGCACGCGGGCAGGCCGGTCACCTGGTCGTCCATGAGCGCGACGAGCGGCGACACGACGATCGCGATGCTGCCGCGCCGCCGCGCGTACAGGTACGCTGCTAGCTGGTAGCACAGCGACTTCCCCGAGCCCGTCGAGAGCACGAGCAGCGTCGACTCGCCCGCGAGGATCCGCGCGACCGCCTCCCACTGTCCCTTCCTGAACGACTCGTAGCCGAACCTGCGCAGAGCAGCCAGGACGTCGTCGGGGACGTTGGCGGGCGGCGAGTCGTAGAGCGGCTCGACGGACGGCGGCGGCGGCGGCAGGTCGTCGACGGGGTTCGACGCGAGCGCGGCCAGCTTCAGCTCGTGCAGCGCTCCGTCGCTCCTCCCCAGCGCCTTTCTCGCAGCCTCCTCCTCCGTCGGCAGGGTCGCGTAGTCTTCTCCCGCCTGGCTGCTGCCCTCCGTCAGATACTGCGCTCCACTGCTGAACCCGCCCGACTGCCAGCAGCTGCTCGCCCAGTGGCCCTCCTGTCCGCACCGGTAGCAGAGGTTTTTGCCGGTCGTCTCGCCCGTGTCCGGCCGGTGCTTGTGTCGCCACTGGCCATTGCGTTTGAACGAGGGACCCGCCGCTCCTCTCTTTCTCGTGTAGCGCTTCTTCTTCAGGTTTATTCGCACGTAGTTGTTGTCGGCGGCCGGACCGACTTTCGTCGCCGCGTTGGAGAATTTTCGCTTCTTCGCGCCGACGACGTTTCCGTACGTGTCCGCCTCCGACCACAGATGCAACATTGGCTTCTTCTCACCCTCCGTCTCAACGCTGATGCCTTCACCTCCGCTTCCCGTCTGCTCCTCTTCCTCCTTCTCCACACTGACGGCCTTCCGTTTCCTCCCACGCTTTGCCGGTGCCTTCGCCTTGCCTTTGTCTACACTCGGTAGACTGCCACCGTCTCCTTCATCTGTAGCCAGGACTTTCTTGGCCTGAGAAGACAGACGCGTCTTTCGCTGTTTGCCAGCAGCCGTGCACCTCTGACCAACCGTCGCTCTCTTTCGAGCAACACGTTTTTTCACCGGTCGTTCCTCTTCTGAACTTTCTTCGTCGAAATCGAACAAGTCTTTGTTGGCTGCACACAATTTGACAGTAGAAGTGGTACCACTAGCAGAATGGATGTCGTTAGATGCACTAGAACACTCAGCAGATCTCTGCGACAAATCACAGTGACTACCGCAGTCTGAGCCTGCCAGATTAATCGTTGAATTTTCAGAACCGACGAGCTTTTTCATATTCCTTTTCAACGTGACAGTGCCTTGCTTTCCAGTCACGTTATTCAATTCAGAGCCGGATCTGCTACCCCTTACATCTTCAGCTGCATCGTGCATTTTACATTTCCCAGCAGTCTGGTTGCTACCCACTGCGCTCTTCTCACTCCTCGTAAAACGAACTCCAGGGGTTGCCATATCACAAGCAGGATCGTCTATTCTGTCAGCTGCATGTTTCGGTAGGGATGTGCACGCTGTAGCAGACTGGTTGAGTCGATGTGCTGCCAAAGGCCTTCGTACCGGAAACGGCGACATCATCACAGTCGGATCATACGATTGGCCGCTGCCGGTCGAAGCACGCTTCCTCATCACGAACTTCGGCAAGCTTTTGAAAGCGGAGAGACTCGCCATCGCCCCGACGTCGGCCTCAGCTTCCGAACGCGAGCTCGCATTGTTAGCGGCCGCCTCTAACGACCCCAGCGACTGACGAGTGGAACCACCTCTGTTCTTGCAATGTAGACCGAGTCGCCCTCCCGCTACGGTCAACGCACCATTCACAGTGAGTGCCCTTTGCTGTAATTTCTTGCCCATGGAGGAGGCAAAATCTGACTTCTCCTTCGTGACGGGTGCGGCGCATTGTATCGGCTCAGCGCTGACACTCTTGTTGAGAGAAGCGCCCCAGACGTCACTGCTGGTAGGCGAACCATCACAAACCCTCTCTGCCCCATCTCCATCTGGACGTACGGCTCTGTCGCCACCACTGCAGTTCAATTTGCCCGCTCCTCTGCTGTTTGTTTGTGAGACGTCCAGCTGCATTTCGCTCTCGTTGCCATCAGAAGGCGGAGATCGTAGGATGTTGCTATCACATGTAGTTGCCTGCTGAGCCTGCTTCTTCTTCATCGCCGTGTAACTCCGAAATAGCTCCCCGATACTCGCGTCAGCAGCCTGTATGTCCGCCTTTCCTGGTTTTCTCTGATTCTCTGCTGAGAATTTCAACTCCCATTTTTTCAGTAATTTCTTGAGGTCGTTTAGTTCAGCCATCGTTACGGGATGTTTCTTATTCCGATTGTAAAACGAGGAAACTATCAAATGCAAAAAATGGTTAAAAATTAACGGCCATTCGTTAGTCCGTAATTACCAGATTCATGAACGAATGAGTATATTGCAGTAACAACTAGTACAGTGGACTACTGGACTGTCAGCATCAACTTAAAATCAGCATCACTGTAAATTTTTGACTAACATGGGCGGATAAACTAAAAATTTTCATTATTTCTCTCTCCTCAAAATTGTTATAACTTAATTTTAAATAAATTAAACCATAAATTATCGAATAAACTTAAATCTAATATTCGTCATCACACACACTGATCAATAACATCGACGCAGTCATGTTTGTTGCTTATGCTATGACGTAGACAGACTCGTTTTGGCAAAACTCACAGAGTAGGCCTACCAAAATTCGGAACTACCAGGATTGCTCATGCACTACCAGATTACAAAATCTAGTAGTCCCTATTAGTATTACTACCAGACAAAAAAGGTTAACTTTGCACCCTGGAAGACAAAAGAATAGCAAAAAATATATGGATGCACCAGAAATGCATTTGCTCAGTCTAAGGTGCCGTGTCAAATAATAAACAGATTCATACCTATTTCGCAAGCTGTAGGCTAATCTGAAGAGTTTTTAACTGCTTTCTTGCATTAATCATCAAAGCTTTGATTGTTTCCTGTAAAAAGACATTGTCAAGTGTATGACTTTACCAGAAATGAATATCAAATCAAATTCCTAACAGTAAGCTCAGCGCCTTTACAATTTTCCATAGATTATCTATATTATAAAATGTTTATAATATGATTTGTTATTTTGTTGCTTGTTGTGCTGTACTTAAAATGTCAGTTGGCCTATAAGTTTAATTACTTTGCCATAAAACTCATAATAAATTAAACAGTATTTGTACTCAGGTTAGATCTAGATTACTTCGGCTAGGACATCATATCAAAACTAAGACCATTAGATTTCATTTACATTGTTGCGATTTTATTAGCCAATATAGTGCCATGTGGGCTGGTGGTCGATTGTGTACCATACAGTAATAAGAAAACTGAATGAGTACAGTATGACCAAGTATCAAATTAAGCTTTTCAAAACAATGACAATGCGTGATATCTTATCTTCTGCAACAGTTAGGCCTACCTGATCAGTCTGATGCTTGTTGCGCTTAAAATCATCTCTCGCCCATTCAGACAGATACTGTCGGTGTTCTGGATTACTAACTTTGCAGATCGTTCGCATTATTTCTCCATATAGGCGTAAAACCTGTTGCCTCTGAACAAACTGAAATAAAATGTAATAGCCTATCAGTATCAGAGTGACCAACCCCAACTCTTACTTTCTTTGTTACACTCCCTTTAACTTTGAGTTTGAATAATATTCTTTATGAGGTTATAGGGTAATCAGTAGTCAATAGGGTAGGTTGTGAGTAGCAGCTAGTAACGGGCTAGCCGATATTTCGGATCAAGGATAGTTAGGTACTCCCACAATATATTTTCGCATGTGCTTAGCTAATCTGGGGTACTAAACTAGGCTTTGACCGATATTTCTTAGAATTTCAATGTTACATGGTCAAAAATGCTTTAGAATAAGAGGACCTGGATGCACAAAATTCACGTTTGTCTATGGAAGCTAGGCTATTATTGAATATTGGGCCCTAGATTATAGAATAGTGTCAGTTTATAAAAATTTCTGGACAATTTATCGGTCTAGGCTGTACGCTACATCATTTAAGTTGTGGCTGTAGCCTCTGCTGTAGCGGGAGCGAAGGGCCTATAGTCCCGATAGAGCTATAGTATACTGTATAGTGTATATCATGTTTTGGTTACTATTCGGTTGCAGGGTACGAAATTAACGAAAGTACGGACTCAAATACTCCCTGATTTACTGCTGGACTCCCTGATTTGACATATGCAGGAGTCCGTGTGACTCCCTGAAAATTCTGCCATGCTAACTAGTTCGTTCCAGAGCACTGCCTCCCGGAATTACCATATTTTTTCAGTAAATGTCCAAAGAAAATTTGGCAGACGTGCAACCGCATGAATCTTCAAAATAAGCATACATGTGTTATTGTTAATATCTTGAACTTCTGACTGCGTACTCCCTCTTTTTGAGAGCAGGGAGTCCGTTGGACTCCCATGTTCAAATGTTAATTGCTACCCCTGCGGTTGGGCTGCAGTACACAGTCACAGTGACAATGTGACACTCAGTGACAGTGTCCACAAGCACTTGGGACAGAGTAAGTAAAAACTGAAAATAATATGAACGCACATTCACAAATACTACCGCTGAGAGGGTCTATGTCCCCCAGGGTACTGCCAAAACGTACCCAAGTTGGTACTATCTAATATGCCGGACCGTACCTCGCCTACTCCACTAACGAATGTAGGGAGTCGCCTACGCCTACTCCCTAACCCTAACCATATCAAATAGTTACCAGGGTACGTTCCGCCAGTACCCTGGGGGACATAGGCCCTATGAGCAATACTACCGTACCCACTACATCTCAATTACAGTTCCACTGTTGTGTCACTGTATATCAACTTTCCTTCATAAAAACTAACGCCGAACGCTCCGCGCAGCTCGCCGCTGCCGAGGTGGTGTGTCGGCCAATGATAAATATATATATACAATTTTATAAAATCTTTATTATATATATTATCATTATCATGGCGACACAGACACTCGCAGCGGCGAGTGGCGGAGCCGTTCGGCTGTGAGTTCTTTATGAAGGAAAGTTAAGTATACAGTGACACATACAGTGGAAACGCTGTAATTGAGATGTAGTGGTCGGTAGTATTTGTGAAATGTGCCGTTCATATTATTTTCAGTTTTTTAACTGACTCATGTCCAAGTGCATGTAGACAGTGATCACGTGTCAGTGGTACAGCCTTACTGGCGCTCATAGGGATCCTATGTCCCCCAGGGTACTGCGAACGTACCCTGGGTACGCGGTCGCGGTATACCGAACGTACGCCTGGTAAAACTATCGATAGTGCGTTTACCGTTAGGGTTGCGCGTTAGGGTAATAGGTTAGTGTTAGGGTTAGGGTTAGTGGTTAGCGGTTTAGGGAGTAGGCGTAGGCGACTCTCTAGACTCTTTAGTGGAGTAGCGAGGTAACGGTCCGGCATACTTAAGATAGTACCAGGGTACGTTCCGGCAGTACCCTGGGGCGACATAGACGCCTCTCAGACCTACTGACGCTGATAGGTCTATGTCCCCAGGGTAAGCTGGCGGAACGTACCCTTGTGGGAAGCGCCAACTGCCACAGAGTTTATATGGATAGTTTATTAGTTCGCGGGCACGGCATGCTAGCGACGCGTCACC